CGCCGCTTGACCGAAGGGGCGGGGCCTGAGGGCGGGGCCGCAGTCGCTAGGCTGATGTTGGCGGGAGAGCTGGCGGGACCTGAAGGCGCTCTGGGCTGCCTGGAGGGATGAAGTCCAGGTGGAAAGTCATTCGCCGTTGCCCGGGGTTATGATTCCAGGGACCCTCATCCGAACTTAATCGTTGGAACAGTGACCAACCCAGAAACTTAGTTGAGTGTTATTTATAAAAAGCGCTGTTTTGACTACTGTTGAACTTGGAAGAGCTTTGCCCAGGATACTGAAGGTACCACTCTCTTTGTTCCTAAGAAGGCAACCTTTTGTTTCCTCTCACCCCACCTGTGGCGTATATTGTAACTGAGTAAAAATAAGAAAAGTTTGTATCTAATTCTAACTGGTTACAAATATCAGCTCAAAGGCATGTTTGAAAAGATCTGGTTTACTTTTAAAATATGAGTGGTATAAAACTTCAAAAAAAATTTTTTTTTATTGTTTTGTTTTGTTAGAGAGTGTGTTCAGCTTCCTCCTCCGGATCTTTCACTGATTACAGTAAGACCTACAGAGCAACTCGTCATGCCTCCCTGCCGCCCCCCGACTTTATTTCCAAGGCCTAGCATTTTTCCCCCTATCTTGTCTCGAATGCACCCATTTTCTCTCCGTCTCTGCTCCACAGCATCCTCAGTTGCCTCATCCTCGCCTGGTTTCCTGTCGTAGCTTTCTATCTGGTATCCAAGTGTCTATCCAGGTCCCAGCCAGTTCCAAGACTGCGGTGTGGCCGCCTAAAACATTTCCAAACACAAAACTCATCGTGGCACTTCCCTTCCTTAAAGCACTTTAAAGTTTTTCGCTGCTCTTTGAGTAGCCTCTTGTCAAAACCTCCTCTGGCCATCATGGTCCCAACACCACAGTGCGTTCCCTTAGGTCATTAAAAGCCCCTGCACCTTGTTGCCTATGGCTTTTGCACAAAGATTCACTTTGGAACCTGGAATTGTCCTCCTCTCCATTCCTCATCCTTCAGAATACAGTTCAAATATCACTCCTTAAAGCTTTCCGTAGTTCCTAGACTAGATTCTCTCAGGTGCATCATATCACCTGTGTATGTAGATACACACACACACCATTATGTGCGTGTCCCCTTCTAGTTCAAAACCTCCAAAAGGCCAGAGACTGGCTGCATGTGACTCATTTCCCAATATAGCTTCATGTGGCACATGCAGTGCTTGGCTCCAAGCAGGTGCTCGGTGTTTGTTGAATAATTGGACTACCTCTACCCAAGCCAGACCCCGGCTTTAAGTGCTTTCGGGACCCTATGAAATGGGCATTAGTATCTGTTGTGTCACCCCCAAATTCATATGTCAAAAGCTGTAACCCCAGCGTGATGGTATTTGGAGGAGGCCTTTGGGAGGTAATTAGATTTAGGTGGGGTTATGAGGGCAGAGGCCCTATGATGGAATTAATGACCTTGTAAGAAGAGAGAGTGCTCTCTCTCTCCCCCACGTGAGGACACAGCGAGAATGCAAAAGAAGAGGGCCCTCCCCAAAACCCAGTCATACTGGCACCCTAATCTCAGACTTCTAGCCTCCAGAAATACGACAAATCTCTGTTGCTTAAGCCATCTAGATTATAGTATTTTGTTGTAACAACTAAGTGCTTTCTAGTAAGAAGAGGCAGGTGTGGCTCAGAGATCTTAATTTACTTGCCCAAGGGGCTCAGCACATGCCTGTAGTCCTAGCTACTTGGGAGGCTGAGGCAGGAGAATCACTTCAGCCCTGGAGTTCAAGGCCAGCCTAGGCAACATAGCAAGACCCCCATCTTTAAAGAAAAATAAGATTTGTAAAAAGAAAAGCATACTTGCCGAGGATGGAGGCACAGATAAGAACAGTGGCAGAATATTAACCCAGATCTTTTTGATTAGTAATGGACCCAGTAAATTATGTTTTTGGTCTTTTGGGGGATTTTTTGAGACAAGGTCTCACTCTGTTGCCCAGGCTGCAGTACAGTGGTAACGATCTCAGCTCACTGCAGCTTCGAACTCCTGGGCTCAAGTGTCCCTCCCACCTCAGCCTCCTGAGTAGCTGGGTACTGTGCCACTGGCGCACCCCACCATGCCTGGCTAATTTTTTAAAATTATTTGTAGAGACAGGGTCTCTCTATGTTGGCCAGGCTGCTCTAGAACTCCTGGCCTCAAGCAATTCTTCCGCCTCAGCCTCCCAAAATGCTGGGATTACAGATGTGAGCCACTGTGCCTTGTAGCTCCACTGAATTATGAAAGCTCAAGGAGTTTAAATGACTTGGCCAAAATCACACACTTGGTTAGAGTAAGCACAGCTAAATAAGGCTTTATTAAGTGTTTTAACTAAAACAATGATAGCACACAAATGAACCAATATTAAAAAAAAAAAAAAAAAAAAAAAAACTCAGAGGCACCTAAGAGGTTAGTCCTTATTAGTCCTGTTAAGCCATTGCTTATTCTTTGTTGAGTGTGGGAGAAATCCAATTCTAGAAAACTTAAAATGGGTCGGGCACGGTGGCTCACACCTATAATCCCAGCACTTTGGGAGGCCAAGACAGGTGGATCACTTGAGGTCAGGAGTTCAAGGCCAGCCTGGCTAACATAATGAAACCCCGTCTCTACTAAAAATATAAAAATTAGCCAGGTGTGATGGCATGTGCCTGTAATCCCAGTTACTTGGGAGACTGAGGCAGAAAGATAGCTTGAACCCAGGAGGTGAAGGTTGCAGTGAGGCGAGATTGTGTCACTGCACTCCACCCTGGGCAACAGAGCAAGACTGTCTCAAAGAAAAAAAAAAGAAAGAAAGAAAGAAAGAAAAAGAAACAAAGAAAGAAAGAGAACTTAAAATGTTAAAACCTGGAGCTATACTATGGTGTTAATGGAGTAAACTGAGGATTTCAGGAGACAGATTGTTCCACTTCTAATCCCACTTTCACTAAATAATTGAGTGATTTAAACCAAGCCTTAAGCTGTCTGAGCATTAGTTTCCTTGTCTGCAAAATGGGGATAATATTTATCAGATAGATTTGGAGGACTATTAAATAAGATGTAAGAGGATTATTAAATAAAATGTAAAATCAGATACACCATAAGTACTCAATAAATGGTAACTGATTGAGGATGATTATTTATAATCAGTACTGTTAATGTTTCATCTACTAAAGAATAACACTGAACATTATAATCAACGAGTCTTTCTCTGTCACCCAGGCAGGAGTGCAGTGGCACAATCTCAGCTCAGTGCAACTTCTGCCTCCTGGGTTCAAGGGGTTCAAGCAATTCTAACGCCTCACCCTCCCGAGTGGCTGGGGCTACAGGCGTGCGCCACTACACTTAGGGCATAATTTAACTGTGATGAGAGTAAATGAAAATTTCACATTTTGGTAAAATGCTTTGGGACCAGACATTTATAATTGGTGTATTCATACCATGCTATTAAATGAATTATGATGCAGATACAATGAGTTCTTTCTACTGTCAGTTTCCTTTCTTCCTTTCTTCTGCCATTGTCCTGTTCCCTCTCCCCAAGGGTCATGACATTCGTGGCAGCTGTTTAATAGTGGCCATAATGAAACTCATACAGAGAAAAAGCAGGTTTACTCTCCCATGTGCAACTTCCCCTTCCATTTTCTTCCTTCTAGCCTTGCTCTTCTACAGCTTAGCTTGCTGGTGCTTTGCTTTTAGTGGAGATGAGATGTTTGTTTTGAACCAACTCTTCCTCTTAACCCTGGATCCTGAGTTTCAAGGGCAAATTCCTTCTCCCATGGGGTACACCAACAATGTGTAACATCCTGGAATTCTTGTCCCAGAGAAAAAGTTCTGCAGGTAACTCCAGCCATCAGCAGGGTCTCAGTAAAGCCGTGGTTTAGGACATGAACGATGACCTCTTGTCACTTTGAAAAGTACTAAATGGTATCCTTTCTTTTTCAGAGTTTTCCCTGCAAGGACCTCCTGTGTACATAAAAGTTTAGTCTTGTTTCTCCGTTTTATTTCCGTGACGTAGTAATTAAGTATACAGTGATTTGGAGTCAAGTGGAACTAAATTATAATCCTAGCCTTGCCATTTCCTAAAATTTCGTCCATTATGTAACCCATCTTGGAACTTAGTTTCTTCTTTTGTAAATTTAGGATTAATGTATATCAATCACATACTCAAAGGGTTGTGGTGAGAAAGGAATTACAGTTTATGAAACTGTCCTAAACCAGAAGTGCAGCACAACCAATGGACATTCCTTTGCAATGTACTGTCCTAAACTTTAATATATATATTAAAGCTTAAAACACAGTAAGTGCACAACATATTTTTCCATTTTTAGGACTGGCATTGTTGAGTTGCATGAAGCCAGCTACACTTGCTTATGATTTATCCTCTGAAAGAG